TCTTTTTTTCCCTGAGGACTTCAAACAACAGTACTGAGGAATCTCATTCTTTTCTCACACAACAGTGGGAAGAACGGAAAACCGGAGACCTCTCTGCCTCAACTCGTCCTTCAGAGAAGGTACAAAGAGTGCCAAATGTCCACAAAGTAGCATGAGTTAACCAAGCTATAAATTAGCCTAAAATAATCTCTCTGGCCACCAGACATTCCAGTTTTCTGATTGTCAAAGGCACTGGTTCTCAACCTTGGCTGAGAATTTCACTTAAATCAGGGAAAATGTTAAAATTCTCAATGCTCAGCCTCCAAAGAAAACCAATAAGAGTGCTAGACATGGGGAGATTTAAAACATCACCAGGTAACTCTAACAGCAGTCAGGGCTAAAAGCCACTAGCGCAAGAAATTAACATTTGAACAGACTATAAGAATACATTCCTCAAGCCCTGCTCTCCCCTTGGGTTTATCTCCTCCTGCAGCTTATAGGCTCTGGAGGGTGCAAGGGCAAAATATCACTGCCTTGCTGCAGTATCACTACACACTTCACGTCATAGAAACAAAGGAGTTTGAACCCAGAGATTAACATCAACTGTAGGATCATCTAACTGTGACCTAAAAAGCGATAAAAACTTGAACATTTCCCGTAAACCTAGACTCCTTAGCAAAAGCAATTTCGATCATTGTTTTTGCTGTCCTACATCTAAGATCTGTTGTGACCTTTGTAAACATGACAATCAAACCAAGCACTTGCTGTCTTTCCACCAGGAACAGACTATGACTGCAAACTTAGCGATCGTGGCAGGTTTTTTTTTCTTTCACGTATTGTTTTTTCACTAGGCAACAAAAGCTTCTCTGGTCATCCTGCCAGATAAAATTTCCTTTCTGAAATGTTTCTGTCTCTGAGTCATTCTTCAATAAGGTTAAGGCCCCAAGAGTGTCAGGCCTCAGAAGAGGATGCTCATCCCGCAGGGACAGAGGTTTCTGCAAGCAATCAGGGAGAGGGCTGCGAGCTGAGAACCTGCTCCGTTACCCGGCTCCGTTGGGAGATGAAGCCCAAGATTCAGCTCAACCATGAACAGATCCTCTTGGGTCTTCTGAGGAAATCCCAACACGGATATCAGACTATACTGCTGGAGCCTTCTGAGGCAGGTTTTAGCCATACTACCCTCAAAATACTGAAAATGGGCAAACATTGCAAGCAATGTCTTGGTACACAAAAGATAGTAGAATTTCCCTTTCAAGACAAGGGCCTTCACTCAGAGCAGTAGGGGCAGCAGTGTAGATGTGGGCAACTTCATCTACTCAGGTCACACAGAATCCTTCTGCAATCTTGGCACAAACACAGGGTGGGCCAGGAGAAGGAAGGTCCTGCGGAGGGCGTGGCCACGGAGAGCGAGGTGGACTGCAGCCCAGCCCACGGCTCCTGGCCACATGATCTGCTTCCACAGTGGTCAGCACGATCCCTAGCTTTGTAAACAAAGAAGTACAAGACACAGGACCATCCATGTAGCAGAAAAGTGGGATCAGATCCCAAACAAAGGGTGACACTTGGTACTCCCCAATGAGAAGTTCATTAATTTTTAAAGACCTCAAACACTTCCTTAAATACAAAAGAAAGCCAAGTGTGGTGTCACACACCTGTAATCCCAGCACTAGGGAGGCTGAGGCAGGAGAATCACTGAGTTCAAGGCCAGCCTGGGCTACATAAGCAAATCCAAGGACAGCCTGAAATACACAATGAGACCCTGTCTCAAAATAAAACAAAACAAGAACAAAAAAATACAGAACAAAAACTGGAAGCAGAGATGAGAAAAGTTTTAGGTAGATGCCTGATATAAGCCCTCCTTGAGTTCACCTCATTAAGTGAATGAGCTGGACCAAGTCTCCCTGTGGTTTGAAATGATACTCTAAAGTATGTGTCTATCCTATTCCTATAGTGGGTCTCTTCTGGATAAACTGGATCAGGACAAAATCTAAGCCAAATAATAACATCATAGCAAAAGACTAAAATAGAACTGCCACATTACCCACTTATGAGGATACACCCACAAAGAACTGAACACAGGGACTCAAAGAGATATCTGTGTACTCGTGTTCACAGCAACATTACCCACAATAGCCAAAAAGTGAAATGCAACCAAATGCCCGTCCACAGATGAAAGCATAAGCATGATGAGGAATATACACTCAATGAATTATTATTCAGGCTAAACAAGGAAAGAAATGCCGACACCTGACACAACACTGTTGACCTTGACCACACTGTGCTAAGTGTAAGAAGCTGACAACAAAAGGACAAATACGGTCTGCTTTCACATGTATGAGGTAGTGTAGTTCAATCCCAGAAAGGCGAATGCAGCAGTGGTTACCAGAGGCTGGTGGCGGGGAAGAATGGAGAGTTGTTTAACAGAGAGAGCTCCAGGTTTGGCAAGATAAGGAGAATTTTATACACAGATAGTGGTGACAGCTGCACAAAGGCGTGAATGCATTCTATGCAACTGACCTGTACGTGCAAAAATGGCTAAAATACTAAAAATGTATGTCATGAACACCATACCATCCTTAAAAGTAAACAATTTTGTACAAACACTGGTACTCTCCACAAGCTGTTCAGAAGCTAAGAAGTCCAATCCCTTGTGCTACTCACGTCGTGTAACAACTTCTGAACCTTTCTCCAGGCCACTGGCTAAGCAGCTTAACAGCAAACACAACCAACGTGAGCTGCAGTTAGAGAACATTCAGAAAGTAAACACTGAGCTAAAGGAAAAACAAGGAAATCCCTCAGAATTGATAATCAATGCAGAAACCAATCAACTCTGAAAGATCTATAAAAATAAAATAGAAACAGATAAGATATAATTAATATAACCACTGAACAAAGATTGGAAAAAGAAAAAAAATCTTGATTGTAAACAATCAAAGTGATAGAATCTGAAGCCTAGATTTATTTATACTATATAACTATATAAATGCCCCAGTCAAAGCTCAACCTAGTGCAAATGCCAACTGGCTAAAGTGCCTTTAGCAAAAAACATTAACTCCTCCCCTTGACAACTAAGGTCAGGAACCGATAAAGACTTCCTTCCTTTACATGCACCAAAGGCCCAAACCTTCTACTTTGGAACCATTAAGTACAACTGTCTACTATCATGACTTACTTAAAACTGGCCTTTCTTACAGGGCGTAACAATTTATAATACACCATTTAACAAGAAACATTATCTACACAACCTTTCTTACCCCCCAGATACTTGCTAATTTCCAGTGCAATGAGGGGAGCCCCCCTTGAAACCCCCTATGTGGTTTTTTATTAATTTTACAAAAAAAAACAAAAATTTCATAATCAAATAATAAGAGACTAACAAAAATTACACTGTGTATCATTAACTTCAAAGTAGTTACTCAGAGTTCAAGACACAAACCAAAAAAGATTCTTACAAAAAAAGAAACAAATAGGTAATAACACAAATCTTCCTTTCTAAACAACCCAACAGGCAATGAAATGGAAACAATAATTTAAAAAAAAAACAAAAAACCACCAACTAAAAACATCCCAGGGCCTGATAGAGCCACAGCCAAATTCTACAAGAACTTCAAGAAAGATCTAACACCAATACTCCTCCAACTTTTTAATGAATTGAGAGGGAGAGAGTGCTTCCAAAATCATTCTCAGAAGCTAACGTTATCCTGATTCCAAAAGCAGACAAGCAAGCAACCAAAAAAGAGAACTATAGGCCAGTTTCTCTAATGAACACAAACATGCATTTTAGACACAAAATTTGTTATTTCTGATGCACTTCCTACTTGGAAGAATTTTTACCCCCTTTATTCCTTACTTATAAAATTGGGTTTGATGAAAAATTTAAGAGATGCTTAGAATTATGCATTATTTACACTTACTGTTTATGTTTCTATGTATGTGCTTAAATTTCTACTATAACTTTTTATAAAGGACTATTATAAAATTGATTTTTAAGGAAATTTTTCATTAAAAAATAATGGAGTAATTGAGCGAAGTACTGAAAAGAGCATCTTTCAATTACTTAATTTTTTCCCTCCTATTAAGCTGCATCTGAAGAGATTAAAAGTACAATGGTACAAGACAAAAAAATAGGGGCTGGGGATTTAGCTCAGCGGCAAAGCGCCTGCCTGGCAAGCGCAAGGTCGTGAGTTCGGTTCCCAGTACTGGAGAAAAACCAAAAAAAAAAAAGACAAAAAAATACAATGTCAGGAGAAAAAGGCATAATTCTGAGTGTCTACAAAACAAATACAAAGATTCTCCCCATTAGGCTTGCACACCTAGACTGCAGGGAACATTCCAATCCCACACTAGGACACTCAACGGGCTGCCTATAGCCACCTTCAGTACAGCTGTTTTCCCAAAGCTCAAGTTTTCAGCCCCTTAAAAGAACTGGACTTTGCAGGTACCCTAGAATGGAAGACATTCCTCTGGTGAACCCGCATGAGTCACATCCTCTTCTAGCCTCTGCCTTGAAGTCTGGGCAGAATGTATGATTTGCTTTTTTCAAAGATAGCGAAGGTAATAGTATGTCATTCTCATAACTACTTCTGTAATATATGACTTCAGATTAGCAGAGATTTTTCTCAGGGGCAAGAGATTCTCCTGCTGCCTTTCACCAGGCTGCCATGTTGTAAACAGATTTATGAGAGGTTCACATGACAAGAAACTCTGGGAGGTAGCAAGCAGAGAGTGGTGCCCAGCAATAGGGAACAGAGACCTCAGTTGACCCAACAATAAGGAGGAAATCCTGCCAACAAGCACACACCCTGGAAGAGACCAGGAAAGAACGCAGTACTAGCTGTGAGAGGACCCAGCTAAGTCATGCCCATATTCCTTGCCCACAGAAAGGTGAAAGGTGAAATGATCAATATATCGTGCTTTACACTACTATGTCTGTGGTCATTTGTTACTCAAAAAAGAAAAACATGGGTATTGGTTATCGTGTACCAACAGACACTTACCTAAGAACTGACTTCAGATGTATGCTAATTACTGGAATCATTCTATCTTTTCCTTCCAATACGGAAATACACTTTCAAACCATAACAATGTCTCCTCTCTTAGAGACACTCATATTTTGAACTGTGGAATCTTAGTGAATTTTCCAATATGGATTTCTGGGTTTTGTGTCATAGTCTTCTTACTATGCTTCTCTCCCTCAACTCCACCTTCTACCCTTTAAAAGTAGATGTCATAGTAGAATCCCTTGTGTAACAAGCCTCCCAAAGGCCGAACTACTACAACTGCTTGAAGCCCAACAATTTGAGGAAAAGCAGTAAATTGGACAGAGGTATTTTCTAAGCTCAAGCTAAGTATAGTTCAAAAAAAAAAAATAAAAAGGAAAGGGTTTCTCACTGTCAATCTTTCCACCAGCCCTCTCCAAGTATTATTAACATGAACCAGCGCTGAGGTGGGCATAAGGTGAATGGGTACTGTATTTCCTGTCAGACAAACCCAAACAACTTTCTGAGAGTGAATTTACAAAAATTAGTTAAGAGAAAGAAAAAGAGCAAGCAAAAATACTGTAATCAGAGAAATTTGATTTGTTCAGCATAAAACATGGGAAAAAGTACACAAAATCTGTCATCAATCCTAGTCATTTGTCAAAGGATGGCCACGCTAGTTTTGCCATACTTGTGTGAAGTACCTCCTGTCTTATCCCTGACTTGCTGGCCACCAATGCACTTTCTCAACTTTAGTTTGGCCTCCTGGGCATTTCAAACTCAGGAAGAAGTCTGATGGGTGACACACATATATGGATCCTTGTAGAAGACAAGGCCTCACTGCTTTGCAGTAGTTATTCTGTGATTAAAACCCAAAACACACTAACACTGAATCCGGAAATAGCATGACTTGGAACCATGGAGGCTCCTAAGGTATGGCAAGGGCCCCGAAAGATCCATCCAATGCCTGCTGTGAACACAGTAACTCTGAAGCAGCTGCTGACATCAGAACACAGTGTCTCCAAATCCCCTCTAAACATAAGTAGGGAGAAAGCTATAACAATAACTTTATTTTTACAAATGTCTGCAAAAATTGTCTACTCTCCATAATTGAATGAATCACTGTATTTTACTGAAACTGAGATACTCATTATAAAACACAATCTTTCATATAAATGGAAAGACCTGTCAGTTAGAATTGGTATATATTAAATAGTAACTGATGCAAGACATATCCCGTTTCAGACAAGTTTTAAAAAAGTATGGGAAGAAGGTTATCTTAGGAGCCATGAAATGCAGCACCTACAAAAGTATTCTTTAAATACTTATTCAAAGAAAACACTAAATATAAATTATATTAATTCATAATCAGTAGCACAACAATAGAGCTATTTATTATTCTTATTACCCAGATCATTTAAAATGAAGAATGGGCTATTCTAGCAGACATCCTGTAAACTGAAAACCCATTAAGTTTCTCAATTTAGATAGAACTCATCTCACTATCACTTCCAGAATCAAAGATCACAAGATAAATGAGACCCATGTCAGTGATGCAAGACAGACCCAAAGGTAGTCATCTCTTGAAGTCAGATCCATTGGGCCCTGCTTTATGTTCTCTTCATAGAATATAAACTGATCCAAAAAAGTTTTTAAAAAAACTGAAATGAGTTATTAGCATTCTTGGGTCAATCATACAGAAAAGGTAAAGCAATTAATAAAAACATCTACTTCCAAGCATGCCCTTTTGTGAAATGACTCAACCCAACTTCCCAGCAGGGTATGGATACCCAGTCATTTCCCTAGCAAATCACTTCTTCATGGTTTTGCTCTATTAGAACTATATCCAACTTCTCGAAGAAAAAAAGTTTTCTTTGTATGCTCTGATAGGTGGAATTCATAAATTATTACCTACTCAGTCTCATGCCAAACACTAGTCTGATAACAAATTCTACTTTATAAGACCAACTGGTATTTCAAAACTTTTACATTTGCTACAGATGGGCTAATAAAGCAAGCAGAAAATCTGCTAAGGCTCTTCTCCAAATGGACTCCTTAGAAATGGCAATTACTCAGGGAAGTTACTAAGTAATCCATCTTTTCTAACGTTAGTCCACTTTCTCCTCATCTCCGGTGAAGTATTCCATAGACAATCACCAATACTGAGTGGAGAACACTCAAACATCATTGCAGTTGAGCGAAACTAGTTGGATTCGTCAGATCCAGGCTCCATCAAAATATTTCTGGATGTCTGTATGACAGAAGGCCTCACCATAACATTCATGTCAACAACTTCAAAATCCATCTCATTCCACCTTTCTGCATCCTCTCCTTCATTATATTCTTCAAAGTCATTCAGCAAAGCTTTCTGGTCCTCATTCTTTCTGTTTTCTTTCTGGTGGCGATCCAGAGGCAAGGTGGCTAATTTATACATCACAGGAAATAATACCGCAGTGAATATTGCTGACCCCAAACACGTGTACAAAACTACTGGCAAATCTGGGTATTGTCCTTGAAGAATTCCAATGACTGCAGGAATAGCCATTTCTCCCAGACAAGCACCAATGACAAAAAAGGCCGCAGATTTCCCACTTATGGTCGTGTACTGCTCAAGCCAAGAAATACCACTGGGAAAGGTGGTGGCCATTGAGGCCCCATACACAGAACTCCCTATCCAGACACAAAGTGGGCTCTTGTCAAAAAGCACCAGGAATAAAGATGAGACCAGGCTGCCAATGTTGCTCAGCACAATCATGGTGCCAGGCTGTAAACATGTAGCAAAGAAGATTGCCAGGCCCCTGCAGGCTGCAAAGGTCCCCCAGAAGATGGAGTTCAAGCCGGCGGCTTCGCTTTCCTCCAGGCCAACGTGGGTGGTGGCAAAGGAGAAAATGTAAGAGCCGTAGGTTATCTCAGCTCCAACGTAAAAAAAGAAGAACAGAAAAAGGAGGCAGAGCAGGGCCTTGTGATGTTTAGCTCTTCGAGATTCCTGAGCAGACGCTGTTGACTTTTCGTGCTTCGAGGTTTTCTTGAAAAACAGAGCAAACAGGAAGACAGAAACTACAAAGGTGTAAGTGCCGACGGAAGCATAAGCCCACAGTAAGTTCAAGTCATCAGGTGCTGCAAACAGAAGGTCTGGGTCGGCTTCAGGTGATCGGTTGAGGGCTGGATGGTGAAGGTCAGGCTCTGTGTGGTTTTCAGCTGACATGGTCATCCCCAAGGCCAATTTTGCCAGAATAGGAGCCAAAAAGGCACCCAAGGCAAAACTGAAGTGTAAAGCCTGCATATGTGGGGCTCCCTTGTCTCCCCACAGAGCCAGGATAAGGACGTTGGCACCTACCAACCAAAGATGGGAAAACTAAGTTAAACAGTAACTTAGTTAAAAGAAAAAAACAACCTTTTTTTTTTTTATTATCAGAGAGAAGATGAGTCTGTGTTACAGGGGAGCAGCTTTGTAATATTCTTTGTAATATTCTCAGTCACCAACCATTGCATCTGAGCCAATTCTGTATTTAAGGAACTTTAATGCACTGTCAACAGAAAACTATACATTATAACATCTCATACACATATATACAATGCTACAAGCTGTAAACTATACTCCTGGAGGCAAGCACATTAGCAAAGGCTATTTATAAACCAGTGCTAACACAAGACTGGGAAAAAATATTTGTAGACCTATTTATTTGTAATTATTTTAAATGTATGTTTGCTAGGTAAAATCTTATTATGGTCAGATTTCCAAAACTCTGTGCTCTTGTGGAGATTTGAATATTATTTTATATGTGTGTAAAGCAGATACAAATATACAATCAGGAACCTGAATACTCCAGGATTATGCTGTGCCTGTTACAGAATAGAACACCTCGCAGAAACTGCTTTTACACTGTCTGACAACAAGGTCAAAGGCCAGAGCACCTAGTTGTTGGCTTTTTTGTAATCAGACTATTTTCTGATAAGCATATATTCCTACCCTGTAAATTTACCATCAAAGAAAGACTGAATACAAAATATTTCCACAATCTATCAAATAACATTAAAGCAGGAAGGGAGGCCTAGGAAGCTCGACTGAGCAGTAAGCCATTACTCAATGATGTCTTTAGCAGGTCTTCTAAGACACACTGACACAAGGAGAAGCTCTCTTATAGCAGGGCAGAACATCTGAGTGAGAAAAGAAGAGAAAAGAAAAACGAGGATAACAGTACATGCCATAGGTTTCTCTTACCTCAAAATCCGGAGTATATTTGCATAATTAATATACATGAATGTAATTTTTAAAATCTGGAGTACAATAACTGGATGGTGGCTTCTGTATTTTCACAGTAAAATATTGGTTTAAAATGTGTTTTATACCCTTAAATCATCGTTTCTTATAAGGATAAAAATCTGATCCAAAATGAAAGGCTATTCACCAAGAAGCGTCCTTACTTGTCTGAATACTGTAAATCAACATTCTCCCATGCAATAAAATTCTTTAAGTTCACTTCATAGTGGTGACTCAAAAACTGGTAAATTAACAAAGACAGCTTCTACTAGAGGGTGCTTCTGACTGAGTCAGTAAGTCTATCATTTACAGAACAAGTGACTTTACTTTTCTTGTGCAAAGATGCACTCCTAGAGATAACACTTAAAGATTCACTAACCTGTATCCAGAATGCCAATTGCAATGCCGAAGACAGACATCATGACAATCAGTAATACTGGTGTTTTGCAAAAAGGAATGGTATACAGACCAACGGTGGTACCCAACAGTGACATCCCTGAGAAGAAAAGGTGAAAGACCAGCTATGAAAACTGTATTAATCGAAGTCATGTGACAAAAGTCAACATCATAAAAATTTCTCAAAATGCAAAATAAGCTGCAGCTGCTACAAGTGGTTTATTTCATCAAAATCTGGTAGAATCTCTACAGAATATAAAATATACATTACTAAGACATATATATAATTCTACTACTGCTAATAATATATAAATTATTCCACAAGAAAAAGTTTTACAGCAAAAAAAAGGCAAAATGTATATACATAGAATTTTCCCATTTAAAAATATAAAGGAATTTTTAGGCATGTAAAAAGACAAACAGAAAATGTAATCAGTACAGTAGTTTGTAATAAAACTAAACAAATCAGTTTGGGGAATAGGGAGGAAAACACAAGAAATATATCTGTTCGATCTACTTTGGAAGAGAATTTATGCATCAGCAGTAAATTATTCCCTTTGCTTGCAAAGGTGGTTTCTTTAAACACAGCAACTCACTCAAAACAGAATGTGTTTAAATCTTTGCTACGTTCCCAATGTAAGGTGGTCAGGCGTCACCACTGCATGAGGCAGTAAGGAGAAAAATGTAGCTCATATCAGTTCACTCACATTCGCTGCCCCTTCATTTTCAATCTGGAGGCCACAGACTCTAGAAAGGTACCAGGAGCTCATTCTGATCTCTGTAACCCAAGATCCACCCTACACCCTGAGAACCAGAGCTTTGGGGCCTGGAGTCCATGAGCCTGGAGTGGTGCCTGAACACATGAAGGCCTGGAAGGCAAAGGACTGCTGACACACACCTAACTATGTAGGTGATAACAGGGAAACCCAGCTTCCATGGAGATCACAGAACACTATCCATGTCACAGGCTCATGCACAACCATTCTGCAGGCTCATGTTTTTCATACTCAAAGCCAGTGTTGAAAGAAACACATCAACAGTCATGAACAAGCAGAAATCAGTGTTTCCTTACCCAAAACTATAAAATGATTCATACAGTCAAAAAGAACACCACCAATCATAGAGCCACACAAATATCCAGATGCCCGGCCCACAAAAATTAGAGAAAGACTGCTGATATTTCGGTTTACATTCGTTGCCAAATCTTGAAACGTGGGTCCCAGTATAGCAATACTCAGTCCCTAAAAATTAAAAAGACAAAACCTTTTTTACTCATAACCATTAAAATGATGTCTAAGTGGTAACTTGGTTCTGCTATTAAAAAAAAAAAAAAAGATTGGGATGGATTAAAATGTAATGCAGGGGTTTACTTTAAGTTCCCAACTGAGAAAGAGGCAGGCTACTATTAATATTGTACTACAACTATAGGTTTTCAGTGTTTTTCTTCAGCCTCAATTCTCAAGTTATAAAAAAAAAACCAACTAATTCTTCTGGCTTTTGCTGAAATTCCACTTAATTTTGGAACAGTACTTTAAATGCATTAACAGTTAATTAAGAGGTAACAAAACTACTTTCACAAGGAATGACTGGGATGAGAGAAAAAAGAAAAAAGAAGGCAGGCAAAATATAAATATATTTATGAATAGCTGCGATAACTGTATTGCTGATGTCTGATGGTATATTGAAAAGAACAGTTAATGCTTAAACTTTTGTATGTTCTGATCAATTTTGCATGCTTATATCTAGTAATCTGAGCAACTGATTTGAAGGTAACAATACGCAATGGAATTACAATGGTGAATTGCTACCAGTTGTCTCGTGAAACTCTATATTATCTCTAATGTTTTATCTAATAATTATTTTCTCATTCTCTTTAATGGTTTGAACAATCTTTCATTCTTACATCTGGTAATCTGAGCAACACAGTTGAGGATAGCGATGATATGTAACATAACAACCACTGTTCATTCATATTATTTTGTCTTGAAACTGTATCACTTTAAATGTTCTTGCTTTGGTTTGTTTATGTTTGTGATACTGGTATGCTGCTATTCTTTCTTTGTTTCTCATTTACTACTCTCTTTAAAATAAAAATTTTAAAAAACTACTTTCACAATACTTGGCTCTATTTTGAAATACACTACATGCACAAATATTTGAGGAATTTGGATGTTAAATTTTTAAATTACCAAAATAGTTTTCCATGTTGCATGGTGAAATAGCAGTATTTCTGGAGCACATGGGGTTCTTACTCTAAACTACATATAGACAAGGTTCAGGACATAAAACAATTTGAATATTTCAAATCTACTAAAAACCAGTCAGCAAGACTAGTCTTCAAAGCCTCCTTAAAAAATATCTCACATACATGCACAGAATATTAACACTAAACTTTACCTAGACTGATGTGTTAGAACTAGGAGTTGGGTCATTTTCAGACATTCTTAGAACCCTTTTTTTAAAAGAAAATCTTAATTCATTTACATTTCAAGAAGAACTGACTCTGATTGCATTGTTCCTCTCCAAAGGCACAGTGCATCGATCCTGTCCAGGCCGGAGCAGCTGGTGGACAAAGAACCCACAGAAAGATTTAGGCCCAGGGAGAGAAGTCTGGAGTACTGGCTCTAAAGAAATGATTACTCCTTCAGAGGCCTCAGAGACTTGGCACACAAGCAGGGCTCACCAAGCCTCTGCAGTGATGCCTTTCTCATTCTTTCCCCCATCAAAAGCGTCTAGGAAACAACTGTGGCTCAGACTCTGAATGCTACCTGACCAGAATGACTTTCCTCACGCACTGGCTCTCCCAACTCTGCAGAAGCGAAAATCACCAAGTTTAGTTTAAAAAAAAAGTTTGGTAAACAGCGCTAGTAACCTTACACTTTGTTGAAGGAAAGCATTTAAGGTTCTGAAGCCTGGATACTTTTAAATAGAACGGTGCGGGGTAAGAGGCGTTCCTGGTTGTAACACTTCAGCTGTGCGAGCTGGAAAAGTGCACTTCCTCGCTGGCCCTATTCCTCTACCTGCAAAACTAGGCAAATGGTTGAATTTGGGCAGTCCGCCAAGAAGAAGAAATCCCGAACAGCAGTTTTCAGGGCAACAATTTGGCGCTCGAATTCGTGGGTGGAGGGGAACCTTTCAAGTCCTCGGCGACCCCTCTCGGTCTCCCAGCGCAGCCAGGAGACAGGTTGGCTGCGTTTGGAAAACGCGCTGGGGAAGGCGGCTTCACACTCGACAGTCACCCTGCACGAGCAGAACTGCCCGATTTGCACAAGATCAAGGGAGGCCGGCCCGCTGATTCAGCCCCAGGGCCGCTCCGCGTGCAGGGCCGGAGGAGGGGCTCCAGCGCGACGTGCGGTCCCCGCGGCGCCGCGCTGCTTACCAGCCCCAGGAAGGCGGC